TGGCAAAGTATTTTTCTTCAACAAAATTTAAAAGGAGAATTGCTCATGGAGGAATCTTTGATGGGGAAGCTTTGCTTTCTGAGAGGAATGAACAAGGTTCCTGATGTAGGAAATGTCGTGAACATTCACTTATACTCATTCCAATTTAGAAAGACACCTGAGTATGTACTTGATTTTAATTGCAATTTTAGCACTTTCCAGAATGAGCCAGGTGCAGTACAGGTCCAATCCTCTCACAGAAAGTTGGTTTCTAAATAAACAAGTGCATATGAGTAGAATCCAGAGGAATGGATGTAAAAAGGGAACTTTGTGAAATCAATACCAGTTGACTTAGAATTTAGAGTTGGTGTGTTCTCCATAGTTCCTTGGTGGATCTGGCCTCTGTCCCAAAGGATAAACATTACAATGGATATTTTAATACTTCATCTATAAGCTGGCTAATATCTGTTGTAATTTATTTTCATGTGATCAGCCAAAGCGATCAATGCCAGGAGAAAAAGGACTCAAATCTCTACAACTAAAGGTGTAAGCTGCTTCTGCTAGTGTTGAGACTCAGCTATGCTATCTTGGCTGTATATTTCTTAAGTGACTAAGAATTTGCCATTATAGATGGGCAGAGACGCGTAGTGGATTACTTTGGGTGTATTTACTGTCCATTACTCAGTCTAGGCAAAACACAGAAGTTTTGTAATGGCTTTTTTGTGATTCTTTATTTCCCTGAGTTGTAGAGAGTAGAAGGAGGCTTGAAAGCACAGTTTGTCTCACCATTTAACATAGTATAATTGAGGTTTTGGGTCATTTTCTCTAACTTAAATTCTATTAAAGGAACAAATACGTGAGCAAGTGTATTCACTGGTGTGACCAGTCCCCTGGATTTTGACCCTGCTTCTACTCTCATTGAAATCAATGGCAAAACTTCCGTTGACTTGAGGATCTTGCGTTGCTGTAATGTGATAATGACAAGCTTTAGTGAAGTAAAATATTTCACTTCTCACTTATGAAATAGTAATGTTTAGTATCATCAGAACAAAAGCTCTTAAAAAGTCATGCTAAAATTACAGCATTAAAAAGATCTCATGCAAATTGGAGTGAGCTGTATCAGAAAAAACCTTTTCATTTGCAAGAAGCACTTAGGAAGTGCTGTGCCCTCTGAATTCTTAATTAAAAAGTAGAACAATCCCCTTTCCCACTTACCCTTCCCTGTGTCTTACTGTAACTTTATTTTTTCTACTGCAAAGTTTGATATCAAAAGTGATGTATGATTCGTGTCTGTTTCAGTGAAATCCAGACAAATAAAACCCCAGCAGATAGCTTGTATTTTAATGTGCATAAACCTCATTCTGGACAGCACGCTCTACACACCCCTCTTTACTCAGTGAGCGCAGAGGAGGAGGCTGGCATTGCCGTGCTGTGCTCCCAGCAGTGGCTCTGCAGCCAACACCGCTGATAATCCTGAGGCTGCCTGGGAATGTGTCTGCACGATAGCAAGTGCCCGATCCAAAGACAGAAGCCTCCTACCCATGGGCAAGAGAAGTCTATCAGACCTTTTCTCTGCATGAGGGCAGAATCTGAGCCAGTGACTTTTAAAAAGGCATAGGTAGGTGGCTAGAGGAGTGTGAGAATAGTTAAGGCGCTCGGTCTTTGGGAACGCCTCCTAAATATCAGGAGCTCAAAACCAGTGCAGAAAGATAAGGGGAGGAGCACATTTTCCTGGGAGTGTAGAACAGGTTATCAGCTTTCATGTGAAAGTGTTTGGTGACAATAGCCTATGAAATAAGGTAGGTTACTACAAAACTACATTTTTGACCTGAAAGTGAAACATGAAGGAGCAAAGCTGATATTGCACTTTTTTTTGCATTGTCCCCTGGAGAAAATGAGACATATTTCAGTTCTATCTTAAGTCCAAGTAGTGTGGAAATACAGGATTTTGTGAGATAAAAATATGGGAAGCTGGCACAGCTTTATTTAGCTTTTAATGGAGTCAAGGTTCTTGGTCACCTCTTCTGGTTTGCTGTTAACTGTGTGGTACTGTGGGGTGGGAGAATGAGGTGCTCTGCTCTACTGGTAGTTTTGAGAAGGTTTCTCTGCCTCAGTTTTCCCATTATCGAAACCAGGCAATTATGTTTGTTTACGTTCTAAGTGTATCTGCAGTCTTTCATAAAGCTGGTTATTTTTTTTCTGCCTTTTAATTCAAGCAGTCAAATGTGACCAACAGTAACGATTAGTGACTCATTTAGTAATTTAACTGGAAACATTTCTTAGATTTATTTTGCTCATAAAATTGATGTCTCTAACAAATAAAATATCCTACAGTGCATTGTAACACAGCAATTTTTTCACAAATAAGTCATGATTTAGAGAGCAATCTTTTATTAATTTTTTAATTTTAGTACATCATTCATATTAATGCATGTCACATTATAATGCCTTTATAAGTACTCTGAGAATATCAAATAAAACACTTAAAAATAACTTCAGGAAATAAAATTATGGTCTGTTAAAGAACAATATACAGACATACCCGAGTACGTACAATTGTGGTGTTATGCACATTCTTCCTTTAATGGTGCCCAAGTATCTTATTTGACACAGGGATTAGAATTTATTTTTAGTAAGGAAAGAGACACCAGGCCTTGTGGGATGAAAAAACACCTTTGAGAAATATAATAAAAATAAGCAGTCAGCCAAAAAGGAACAGGAAGAACCAGCCAGCAGAGAAAGCTATGTTTTAGAAGTTAAAACTGCAGGACTAAAGTGGTAATTGCAAAAAGGCAAGCTGAGTTAGAGCTTTACAGGTTGTTAAAGCAAATAGTGAAAGGTTCTTTGGTGTTATAAACACAAAAAGAGAGAAATGGTCTTCTGTGAAATTATAGAGTGGGGTGGCCATCAGAGATAATCCAGCTATAGGTGTCAAACGAAGGTAATACTTCATCTTGGTTTTCAGTAAAGACGGTGATGTTGATATTATTAGGAAATCTTTTTAAGTCCTGTATGTGATGTTCATCTGCAATTTATTATCTAACTCTTGTCACCCTTTTTTTAGGAAAGACGCACTCAGATTGGAGCAAGGTAGAGGACAGTGAGGTTGGGGAAAAGATAGATAATCTAACTTGTTTACAAGCAGTAAAATATAAGCTGGGAAGGGATATGATTATTGTTTAGAGAGTCCTTCGGGATGGTAAATGGTGCTGAAGGAGAAGCGCTCCTTCAGCTGAGTGATGTCATTGTCATGCAAACAGATTGGGACAAACTTCCTGTGACTTTTAGACTGGAATTGAGAAAGCAGATTGCTATTTGTCAAAGCAGTGAGCAGGAGGAGCTAGGAACAGAAAAACCTAAATTATTTTTGACATAGAGCTCAACAAATTAAAGGAAGGATTATGTGGACGGCTCCTGGTGATAACACAGGCTTCAAATTGATAATGCAGAAGATGTCTCCCGGTCCGTGTTCATATGTGAAAAGTCATTAAGTGTTAATCTTGCCTCTTGCCTCCCTTTTTCACTCCCGGACCTAAAATGGACTGGGTTTAAATAGATGCTGTCCCATCATGACCTCTGCAAGCACTGTTAAGCACAACCAGGCAGGAAGTGGACAAAGCAAATACTGGGGTATTTTTCTTAGTGTGGAATCTGTCAGGTGAGGACAGCCGTCTCTTCCTGAGTTGAATGAAGGAAAGAATATTACTGTCAGTGGTGGGTTTTCATGGAAAATGTATGTTTGCAAAGCTGGAAAGTCTTCTGTTTGTTCATATCAAGTAATTTGAACCAAAATCAGTAATAAAAATTAGCACAGCTTAAGAAGGGGTCTGAAGCAGTTCTACTCAGTTTTCATAGAAATGTTCCTATGATTTTATTTATTCGTTAAGTGACTCCATCACAGGTTTAACTTCCCCCATTTTACTTTTTTTTTTTTTTAATTTGTTTATTCTTTGCAGCTACTTACTTAACTAAGGGTAAAAGTGGAACAACAGAATTATAAAGAATAGCTAAAAAACCCCTCAATTCTTAACTTTATTGTACTCCTACTGATATCAAAGCCAAACTTTGATGTTTCAGTGGCAATAGAAGCAAGTATTAAATATAATTTAGTTTGAACATTGAAATTAGACCAAGAATGTCTCAAATATTAATTCAGTCTAAACATTTTTCTGGGATGTTTCAGTATTGCTTTAAAACAAATGATATCTTTCATGTAGATATATGTTAAAATCTTAACACCTCTCAGCCTTCAGTGCCAAGTTACCTTTGGTACGCGCGTGACTTAACCTCTGTGCCTGGCTTTCCAGATAGTGGAACTTGGGTGTGGGGTGAGCATTGCATGAACACCAACCTTGTCTGTACAGACAGCATGGGTGAAGCTGTCACGAGTCAAAGAGTAAATGAACTTGAGTGCAGCAATGTATGCTTTGTCAGAGGGACTTAAGGATCTTCAGGTTAAGAAAAGCATACTTTTCTGCCTTGCTTGTTGTGTTCTATATGTGATCTGAATGTAGTGGTGCTTCTGGAAAAGAGTATCTAAGAAAGTTTAAGTTGGTTAAAAAAATCTGACTTAGATATGTGACAAAGCAGATGCCCAAAGTGCTTGTAGGTAGAGTGGTATTCTTATAAATTCTAGAAATAAAGCATAAAGAGTTTGAAAACAGGTCACTTCCAAGACTACTAGGGAAAGCAGGCCTGGTGTCTTCCACGACTGAGTGCTGCAGGAGGACTTAAGTGTTCCCTGTCAGGAGCTGAGCACCACCAACCACCTTTGAATATGACTTTCTCAGCTTAGCTTCATCATTTGCCCAGCAGCTGCTTCATTTCAGTGCAGTGGTGGCCAAATTGCTTTCTGTAGGCAACATGTGATTTCACACTGAAGTTTCACAGTATGTTTTGAATAATGATGGGAGACAGAGGTAGCCCCAAATATCAGAAGATATAAGCCATTACTTTGGATCACTGAGGTCCCATTGCATAAGTAAATGAGCATTGTCTTTACTAACTGTTTTGTTCACTAGGTGATGACGATTCTGGAAGAAAGGTGATTACCTTCAGCTGTTGCCGTATGCCTCCCTCCTATCAGCTCAATCACACCAGATTGCTGGAGTAAGTTTCTCTCAGTCACCTATGGACTACGTTACATTTTTATAGGTGAAATTCTATTAGCTTGTTTCCAGGTGAATGACCTTTCAGGGAGGAGAAGTGGGAGTCAAGGAGTGAGATGAAAAAAAGGATGTAAGGCCTACTAGTGTTAAGTGAGTGAGATGTGGATGAAACTGCCAGAGTTACTTCAAGTGGGACCTTGACTAGAAGAAGCAACCCACTGTGTACTGAAATTAACTTGTTGTCTTGATTTTATTAATGAATTCTGATCGTATTTAAAAAAAATATAGTTTATGATGAGGACAAATTAAAGAGAAATTCTAGTATTTTAGTACTCCATACATGTGTTCTTATGAATAGCAGTGTTTGCCTCAATGTGCTATGCTTTATCTCCTCAATCACTCAGCAAGAGCATTGTTTGGTGATTTACATCTTAGTTGTTTTCCTCTTTTATAAAAAGATCTGCATTACATACAGTATATTATGCTTAAGACTTTTATATGTGTCTCACTTTGTATGTTTGGTTTTTTGTGTTAAAAGAGGTTGTGAATATGTAAAATCACAACATTCTTATAAACTTGCTGCAGCAAGGCACCAGGGCATGCTTCTGCCTTGAAGGAGATCTGTTCTGACATGAGAGTTCTGTCCTTATTAAACATTTTAAACCTATTTTTGTTCTTGTACAGCCTCCATTGCTGAAATGTTTGAGTGCTTTTCAGCTGTCAGTACCCTCCACATTGGAAAGGACAGAAGTGCTGTAATCTCGATTTTTCAGAAAGAGAGAGGGATTAAAAGACCGGTTACTTAAGAAATGTGTTTGAGACTGTGTTGCTTCATTTTTATGCCCTTCACAGCTAGGGTATTTCCACAGCCTTTAAGCCAAACCTTCCTGTGTGGCCTAGGGGGAGCATTAACACCTAAGAGGAAGAGCCGCAGCAGTCAGCTCCTCACCTAGAGGAGCTACCTGCAGTGATTAATGGGAAATGCCAAAGAAAGGAGTGTGACAAACCACGTTGCTGCCAGATCTAAGAACCCTTCCTCAGTTCTGTGAAGAGATGCCTTGATGAAACTAGAGTTTCCAGCTTTAGTCTCTTTTGGACTTGAACACTTACATGTTTTCCTGTATCTGAGCCCACATCAAATCACTTGGAAAGTCTGTGCTAAGAGAGAACTGGAGGCAGTGTCTGAATGTGAAGCTAGCAATATAGCTATCAAGTGATCTACTTTTGAGTAGTTAGACTCAGATGTTGAATTCTGAGGAAAAGCTGCAGAGTAGACCCAGATTGGTAGGTATGTTGTGATTAAATCACTGAAAGAATTGATGTGGTAAAGCTTTTGTAATGTCCCTGCAATTCTGTTACAGCCTTGGAACAGGTAATTGACTGGACAAAAATACTGGTTATTTTATGCCCACAAAACTCTCAATTATTTTTAGAAGTACAGGCTTTCTGGATGCAATGTGCCAAGGAATTTACGTGCTGTAAAATAAAATGTGAGGCTCTCTGGATCTAAGAGTATCTGTTTAGATATGTTTTAATTTCAAACTCTCTTTAAAAAAGTCTTGAATGACTGTTACTACTACTTCTTCCGTCAAAATACCTTTAATACTTAAGTCAAGGATCAAAGCAGCGTTGTATTAATTGAAGTGGCAGTCTTTGTCCCAGGCTGTTCACAGTGTAAGATTTACAGTATGCTAAGGGAGTAAGCAGATAAATTAGACTGTGGGAGTACAGTGTAAGGGTGAAGATATGGGCTTTTCCATGCAAAGGTGGTTAATCATAGTGGCCTCGATACTTGCAAATAGCCACAGCCTAATAAATGGCACATGGAACTATCTGTTTTATTGAATGAAAATCACTTGCATACAATTAAGAGCACTAGCTGGGGCTGTGTCGCAGAATAGTAAGATAGCATTGAGAATGGCATGAGAAAGTTGAAATCTGATACAGCAAGACATGAGGCCAGATTGTACTCCTCCATCATTGCTTTTTTTGAATCATTGAGCTGTGTAATAGGACATACAGTGCTCTTTTAATTGTAGGAGAAAGACAAGAGAAAAACATCTTAGGCTGTACCATAAAAGAATGAATGCACAGAAATCTGCTTATAAAACATGCAGTATTATTTCAAGATGGGATAAGTAGTGGAGTTCTTTAAATTGGTTTTAAAGGAAATGATCTATGAACGCAGTCACCACAATACAAACAAGGGAAAGGCAAATATATTCAAGAAAACAGTTTGCAGTAACAAGTTGTAATTTGCAGTACTTAGGGCTAATGGATTTTTCATGAATTTAAAAAGTTTTACATTGAGAGGAAAACCCAAGATTTATTCTTTATTGTTTTGAAAAGTCAAAATTATATTGTTTGCTTGACTGAAAGGAAGGAGTTTACAAAGACCAGAAGAAAGCAAAATAAAAGTCACTGTTGGTTAAAATGCATCTTTTAAAAAAATTTCTTGGAAAACGCAGTCCCATGTTGTCTTCATCTGTTAGTGATTCGTGAACACCATAGTTTTTGTAACTAGATACATTCTTTCAAATTTCGAGCTCCACGCTGATGTGGAATTATTGTCAACACTGCCACTAGAGCAGGATAAACTTGTTAGATAAATACATTGAAGCAAATGTGAATTTGCAGTCGCTAGCGTTCTGTGCAAAAAAATAGCACTTTCTCTTTTTCGGTTACTGCTTTAGATATCTCATCCAGTAAACTGTCTTAAAACGGAAATGTTTTCTTTCTTCTTAGGTACTTGAAGTATACTCTGGACCAGTATGTAGAGAATGATTATACGGTTGTCTACTTTCACTATGGCCTGAAGAGTCTGAATAAACCATCTCTGAAATGGTTACAAACAGCCTACAAAGAATTTGACAGGAAGTATGTCTCCAAATTATTTGGTTTACTCTTTGGGTTCTGTAATGTCTGGAACTAACTTCCGTGAAGGAAGCGGATCTTCCCGATCCGCCCACAGCTAACTGAACTCATTTTGCAGATTCTTATAACGATATCGGTGCTGTTCGTTCTCTTGTACATGTCTTCTGTGCAGCAATAAGGAATGGCCTGGGTGCTGCAGAGGTTATCCAAAGATATAAAAAAGCCTTGGGAACAAAGCCAGGAGCAGTTGCCTTTTCTGTGCATTATTTAACAAGATACCTGTGACACCTTATTGGTCATAATTCTCAATTTTCTCACACTTGTGTTTGAACCTTTGATCGTTCCCAGGCTACGTTGTATACAAAAAAGGAAACAGTAGTTTTTAACAGTCTGTATCTTACAGGCCTTGCAGCATTTGTTGATTGTTATGTGTAAAGCCCCGGAGGGACCACTGTGCTCCTATGTGCCTGACCTTTGGAGTAACAATGGCTATGGCTCATGACTTCATGTTTTAGTTGGTTAAGCCGAAGCTCCTAGATAAATAGGATTTTAAAAGTGGAAACTAAAGTTCTCTATTCTCTGAAAGTGCACACTTACCAATGAAGATAAAAGTTCCTATTGAAATCAGTTAGTCTTTTACTCGTTTGCAAGTTACTTGTCTGTAAGTTGGCCTCAAGAGGGCAACATGACTCAAAGCAAAAATACAACTTACTCCTGAGAACGTGTGTGTGTGTGTGTTGGGGGGGATGGATCATACATGTCTGCTTTTTCCAATTAAAAGATGCTGTGAAAAAGATTATTGGGTGTTTCTAGGCTAGACTGGGAGCAGTCCCAGTGAAATACCTGACCCTGCTTTGAAAATTGAAGTTGAGATATTCACAACACCTTTTTGTTGTCTAGTGCCAGAGCTCAGAGTCTTTTGAATCTCACCTGATAACCTCCTGAAACTCTGAAACCCACTTAGCAAGAAGATGAGCTTGTGCATAGTAGCCGTTGGAGCAGCAGTGGAAAGCTGTCATCTGAGGCCTCTAACTGCTTTCGTGAGATACTGCTCTCCACTCAACAACAGACCAAAACAGCTTATTTTTGCTAGTAGGTTTCTGAATATGGTTAGTAGACTATATCTGTTCTATCTGGGACTGAGTAAAGGAGAAGAAGGGCAAAGGATCTCTTACATTTTGTCTTTGGTCAGAGATTTGGACTACCATACTGGTTTTTGCTGTGCGTTGACAATTCCTGAAGTTAAAGCATCATATTATTTTCCTTCTGGGAGAATCCCAAGCCAAATTTACAGCTGCTATATGGGGAGAGGCAGTACAAGGGCATATCTTCTTTGTTGCCTTTTGCCGTGCCTATGGGTGCACAATGTGACTTTCATTTATGCCAAAAATCTGTTCTCTCCATTCCCCCATCCTGACCCAGAAAGCAGGAGAACCAAATAGGAATAGAGAAGCCCAGGTAGCTGGGCAAAACTGTACACCCATCATTTTATTCACAGTTGGAACTTCTTAGCATACTGTCATTAAGAAGCTCAAAGCAGTATTCACAGCCCAACATGCATGTTCAGCTGTACTAGCTAGAGGAAAACCAAAAATAGCACCTTTCAGGCTTCTTCTGTGTGTGTGCCTTGGGGTCAAAGGAAAAGGAGGACAGAGGAGAGTACAAAGGACAGTAGTAATTAGCTAGCATCATGAAAGCAAATGTTCAACAGGAATAGTTTCAAAAGAATACATCTCGCTTTGAAGGTTATCAGCGGAGACGCAGTAAAGTCTTTTAGGCATTTAGTTATAATCTGGGAAACTATGAAGTATGTAAACTTCCAAGAAGCAATGGCTTATGCCCATTGCTTCAAGGTACAAAATAAACTTAAAATGGAAAGTTCAGTAAAGCAACTCAGGTATTTTGCTTGTTAGTTTTTATTGTTGATTTTGGGTTCCTATCCACATTGGTGCCAATTGCACATGGCCACTTGTTTGCTTGTGTATGATAGCAGCGTTGTGAAAACAATGCCTTTTTGTTTCAAAGAATTATGGGCCCAATTAAAACCCAAAAGGAAATACTGTTGTAGTTGCTGAGTTGGTCCCTTTTCCTCCTTTTACTACATAACTTGTTACAAGGAGGTTTTTCTTAGGAGTTCGCGATCATTTCTTTCCATGCTGTGTTATAACAATGAGTGGTGAACACTTGGGAGGGGCGCATCCTACTGGGAAGCAAACTTGGCGAAGTAATAAGCAACAATTTATATATAAAAGCAGGATATTTCATTATGCATTTCTCAATTTCATTTTGCAATAACGTTGAATAAGAGTGGAGTCTTTTTGTGCAGCCTGGTTTCCATTTCAGTTTCAGCCCACTAGAATCTATTGTTTATGTGTCATGATACGACACTGTAGAATCAAGCAAAGCTATAATAGAGAAAGGTTTTTGTTTCATACAAAGGGGACCATCCAATATATAACAGTGTGCAGTTGGCTTCACCTTTAGAAATTACTAGCAAAAGAAGACAAAAGTGGTGGTAAAAATAAAAGATCAGGTGTAAATTTATATCTGAAAATTTAGACATTTTCTCCAACATGAAAATCCTGTAAGCAGCAAATAAAGGGAGATGAAGGAAAGTAATTTTTTTATATCACAGGTGGTTTTTTTTTTTTATAGACTCTTCATTCTCTTCTCAATAATTTTTTCAAGTTGACTGATTTCCCTTCTGTCCCTCTGATATTAAATCTATGAGCCAGCAGACATTGGTTAGGAATGTAATAGCGTTATCTTGGCCTACTATTGTATCGTCAAAACTGACCATTTTTTAAAATTGGGTTGTTTTTTTCATTTTACAGTTCGTTTCTTCTGAATTAGGTCTTTTTAATGTATTTGAAAAGAATGCTGTATAATGTTCCTGTAATAATACCCCCCATTCAGTTGTAGCTATTCAATTCTACTGTCTGTGATATTCAACAGTCTTCTAACAATTTCATTTTCTTTTCCTAGGTATAAGAAAAATCTTAAAGCACTCTATGTTGTACATCCAACCAACTTCATAAAAATTCTGTGGAATATCTTTAAACCTCTTATAAGGTACTTGGCAGTTTATTCAACACATTTTCCTGTTTAGGTTAAGGATGGTTTGTTCTCTAATAAGTTGCTTTTAAAAAGGCTTGAGATAAAATATGTCAGGTAACAGCACAATACCCATTTAAACTGTCTTGAACTAATAAGTAAGGTGAGATTAAGCTTGGATATGAATAATAGGGTAGAGTTCTTTTCTTTCTAAGAAAAGGCAGTCTCAATTCATAGTAGTTTTACTGGTATGTTAAAGTAAATATCACTTTAAAACATAGTTATTCTGTGGACCGTGAATGACTTTTTTGTCCTATTTGACAGCACTTAGCACAGTCGAACTGGGTCCGTGACTGGAGTTACTAGGTGGTATGGTAAAGCAGATAATGAATGGTTAACCTTCAGTTTGATCTCAAGTGCTGAGTTGAATAGGAATGATACTGCTTGTGTGTTCAAAGTTAATGGATAAGCCCTGAAGTGCCCATAAGAATTTGAGATGGAGGGTATAATGGTGAAGGTGGATGTGTTTTACTGGTTTTACTTTTCTTTTACATGGTAAAAATTGATGCTATCTACAAAGAGCCAGCAACAGTGGGCAGATATTGCTGAGTACTAGGATAGTTGGGCTTTCTTAGTTTCTGCTCCTGAACTTCTGTCACTTCCAAAGTCTTAACATTTTGCAGGTTATATTAGCAATGTCCTCAGGACTGGAGGAAGAAAACAACTTATCTTGAGAAGCCATAAAGAACAACCAAAAGTGTCCATTACAGTAACTTGCAATAGATTCAGTTTCTGACTGGTAGAAAGCTAATTAATTAGAAAAGGGAAATTTGACTTCTAGGCATGTAAGAAGCGTGTGAAAACAAAAAAGTAATTACAGCTAAAAATCATTCCAGCATATGCTGTTCTTAAAGATCTATAGTTAGTCTTCTTGTTTCATTTTAACTGGCAGTAAAATAAATGCCAGAGATCCAGGACATAGAACACTGGTGAGTAAAGGGTGACAGAAGCAGGATGTGCAGTAGCTGGTAGAGCCTCAGGAATGGGGATGGATTTTTTTGTTGTTGTTGTTCCTGATTTTCTGTAGGAAGGGTATGGAGAGCTAGAAAAAAACCCAAATAAAATCAGAAAAACTCTTGGACATTACAACACTCAGGTGAAACCAACTTCTTTCTCAGAGGCAGCTGAGAGTTCCTTGGGAATAGCTCCAGGCAAGCAGTTTGGGGACACCCATGGCTTTCAGTCTGTGCGTGTTAATGCACTCAGTTGCGCCACAGCTGGACAACAGCCATGCTGTTTGACTTAGAGTAATAATTGGCTGCTGCTTCTTATTAAAAAAAAAAAAGTTTACAGGTACCTGTTCCAAACCCTTATTTCCCCTGGATCTTACTGTGTCTGTGTAAATAACATGAATACTTTTTTTCCTTGGAACAGCATGATACATTGGCAATTAAATTCTTGTTTACTTTGAATGTGAAAATGGGTGATGCTGACAAGCTTAAGCATTCATATCTAGCATAGAAAATTCAAACCAGGGCTTGTCATCTTAGACACATTATCATCTTGACCTTCTGAACACCCTGCTTTCATCAGGATTGACTGTTTCTGTTTGTACTTGACTTTTACCACTGTGTATCTGGATACTTCTCTTGAGTCTAATTTAGTAACGCTCTACTCTCTGTTGTTAAAATAATGTGACCAGCAGAAACAAAGCTTTTTACTTTGGGACTGACAAAATAATTGAAAGTACGAGTAAATTCTAAAAAGGTCCATCAGCCAGAAGGCAGGAATTAGCTGAAGCTAGGTAAAAAACTTCTTTGCTCCTTAGAATGGTTTAATTGCCAAATGCTTACATGCATTTGTGCTTTGGGTTGACTCACGTTTGGTTTTGTCAAGTGAAGGAAAATTTTAATTTTAAAATGGAAGTGATTTAAGTGCCTACATACAATTTGCCTAAATTATACTCTCACATAAAACTTATTAACATTGTTAATTTACTAGAATAGTACAATTTAAAATTCATTCACAGTACCTTTTCCTTCCAGTTTAGAATAATTTTACCTAAGCAGATCATTCTTAAATTATTTAAGCAGTATTAAACCAGAGTTCACAAAAAGAAGGGAGAAAAATTCTCTGGACTTTGTTTCCTAGCTTTACTGAATTATAGCCCAGATTCATTTGTAGATAGTGTTTCCAATAAAAATAGAAGATATAAAATAAATTTTAATATCAAAAAACCATGTATTTATTTTTCAGAGGTCTGTTACTACATTTGGTACCTGTTAGTACATGGCCTAACTACTTTTACATGAACAATGTGTTTGCTAAGAACTGGACAAATGCTGGAATTATTAGAGTGAAGAACATAAGTCCTAAGTATTTTAGCATACATGTATTTGAAAGTATTTAAGAAAATACAAATACTTGAAATATTTCAAGCTCCAGAAGTTGATTTATCTCCTTACCAGTCCCAAAAGAGATGATCAGGAAGGTGATGCGTTAAGTCAAATTCATTCTCTCCAAACAGCAAAAAAACCTCTAAGAGCCTCACATTTCCATGTGTGATCTGACAGAAACCACCTACCTGTTATCAAAATAATATACATTCAGGTGGTGGTGGTGATGATGTGGCATTTTTAAGGAACAGCAATAATTCCTAGTTGCCCCCAACTTAGTTACAAATTATGTGTTCTCTAACATGTCCTGTATTATCAGAGGTGAGCAGTTACAGAGACTTCTGTGCTAGCCCATGGCTTAGGTAAGGTCTTGAAGTTGCAGGCTGTTTTGGGTAAAAGACACATTGAAGAGCTCTGAAGTTGTACACGCACAGACTGGTATCTGTCGATGTCCCAGAATCGCTTGCCTGTTAGCAAAATTTAGCTCGTTTCAATTAAAAGCTTCTAAAGTGCTGAAGTGACTTATATTTGCACCATCTCCCACTAGAGGGAGTGTGCGTATGTGTATTCAACAATCAAGGGATAAATTCAGTAATGCGAGAGAATTTTTCTCCAATTTCACTATCAGTAAGTTGCAGCAAAGTTATTATAACAAAAGTAACAGCTATTATTTTGCTTGACACTTCAATACAGGACAGATATTTTGAGTTGTGAAAAAATGTGAAATTATTTCGTATCGTGTGTATAAATGTGTCGCTGAACCTTGTTTGAACACCCCTGCCTGTAAAGTAGTGTATTCTGGCTGAAACTTGAGACCTAGCTAGTGATACTTGGTGCTTTGAATCTGGAAGTCTATTTTATACAACTCAGAGAAAAACCTTATTATTCAGGATGTTTCGTAGAAGCTATCCAGCCCTTTTCAAAATAGATAAAGCTGATGGCCAAACACTTCAAGGATATACACTATCCATGCTTTGAAAATCTTGCTTGTCACTTACTACTTTATAGTTTGTTTCTACAGCCCCATTATTTTGTCTTTTGGCAGTGAGGAATACCTAAATAACACAAACATGTTGTTCTGTTGGCTGTTTAACATTTTCTCCAAAGTTAACAGTTTTTAGTGAGCTTTCTAATGCTGTATGAAACCTGTTTTTTTCAATGGCTTTTAAAGCAGTGTTTTTCATATCTATGCAAATCACAAAACATTCAGATGGAAGTCAGTTATTTTTATTCAAATCAGACTCTCAGGCATGCAGTGTATATGTTTGATCATGTGAAATGAAATACATCTTATGTCTCCTGCTGCTTCAATTACAGTCTAATTTTGAGTTGCATCAGCACTTACATTTTTGTAATAGAAGCTAAACCCTTCATAAATGTTCCTCCCATGCTGATTTTTGTACTTCTTTGTGATTTTTTTTTTTTTTTAGCCATAAGTTTGGGAAAAAAATCACGTACTTGAACTATTTAAGTGACCTGAGAGAGCATCTCAAATATGACCAGCTAAATATCCCTCAAGAAGTCATCCGGTACGTGGCAAGTTTAAAATACATTGTCTCACCTTTTCTTGGGTAGAGTTGCATCCTGTTCACTATATTCCAAGCAGAATCTAGTCCTATTTCTTCAATGATTAAAAGTCTAATTTACCTGTTTATGCTTGGTTGGATTTAATTCTGAAAGCTGCATTGACATCAAAGATCAGGTGTTTAGAGAAGAGAACGCTATATAGTTTTCTACAGGTTTGGAACATCTCCGTCTCAGTTGTGGAGCATTCTCTTAGTATAATTGCAGCTTATGTGTGAGTGTTAGCAAAACCAATCCATATGTCATTACTGCTTATGAGTATCGTGTAAAGTTCGTGGGCAAAAACCTCTTTGCTTGCATGTCATAACAGATTAAGTTACTTCCTTTTGCTAAGAGCATTCCCAGTCAGCAAGGCGTTGATTGATTTTTAAACTTTATGGACAGCATCTATTGTTAGCGGATCCATTACTTTTATGTCGTGCGTGTATGTGTGTTGGGGAGGAGTATTGGAGAGGGGGCGGGAGAGGAAAAGGAAAAGAAATGCATAAGGCTGGAATTGTCAAGTGCCAGTATTAGTATCAATAGCAGTCTTTTCGACACAGTGCTTTACATGGAAATGCTTTGATGTACTGACAGGAAGTGATTTTATGTCACTACTGAATGAAAGTAACTGGAAGCTTTGATTATGACTGTTATTGATGCCTGGTGGGATTTTACACACCTTTTGTGTAAATATGGAATAACAGAAAATACCTTACAGCTCTAAGGTTATAAATTGGATTGCATGGTTGCCAAAGAAAGGGGAGTTGTATTTTGAGTAGCAAATAGGTTTGAATTTTGCTGTTAAATTATAGTGTGTTCCTGGTTTTTGGACACATTTATTACTACGCTCCGTTGGCTGAAGCAAAAGAGCTCGTCTATGTCTTGCTTAAGTATTCTACCACAAATACTACTTTAAAACGTCCCTAATGCTTAAATTTAATGCAAGTTCTGTAAGACCTGCAGCATATACGCTATTGTCAGGAGATAGCATCATGAGCAATACTGGTAGCTGTTCATATATGTAGTTTATCAGCTGTGGTGCACAGAAAATCAATGATTTCTTGATTTTTGCAGACATGATGAAAATCTTCGGGGGAAACAGAAGGGAAAATTGCCACCTGTGGTTAAGGTTCCTCCACCACGGCCACCTCTACCTACCCAGCAGTTTGGAGTCAGTCTGCAATAGTAAGCCATGAGATTTCTAAAATATGAGATTTCTATACCCTGCAGCCTTCTGTAATGTGCAGATTTACCAGACAGAATGTCTGCAAATATTTTGTTTGTTTAGTTTCTCATTCTCTTTGAAAGCCACAAAACTATGAGGCTAGACAATAGGTTTTATGAATTCAGGACAGCTCTCACAATCCCAGTGACCTGCCTGGCCTTCATGTTTACAATATCTTTGTGGTAGTTAGTGCTAGCATGGCTGCACAACTTTTCTCCCAGTGGACAGAAATTTGCCTATGTATGACAAAGCCCTGAGCTAATCTGTTGCTGGTGGATGCTGGCAGTATGAAAGTGTTTTGGAGATATTTAGATGGTGGATAGCAAAGCCAAAATAAAGCTTCAGGCTTGTAAAATGGCTGCATAAAGCTAAAATGGATGCTTGAGCCTTTATATATTGTTGTTTTGTTGCTTACATACTGTTCTAATCAGGGTTTTATGAAATGAATAAAATCACTCTCTTCCAGAAAAGCCCTGACAGCTTTTTACAGCTGTTTATGTAGATTACAGCACTGTATGTGGTATAAAGAGATTTACATTACACAAGGAGTGAGATGGCAATAGTACTTGCAAGATTCAATTTTGGTAAAAACCAACAGAAAACCCCACAAAACCTTTTAACTTCCTACCCACAGTCATTTCTGTCATCTTTCTATGGCATCCTTCTCAAAAACAGCTGAAGAATATTGTTCTCATTCAGCAAAGGCAATTTAGGCTGTTTGATACATGGACATTTGTCGAATCTCCTCCCACACCCAGTCTACTTTTCTGGTTCTAATGATTCAGCTGTAAATGAGATATAAAATATAATTTTCCCCTGGTTAAATGTTAAGCGTTAGTCCTCTCTGGAAGGCCTGAAATTAGTACAATCAATATCTATTGTGTAAGAGCTACTATGACATTAACTTTTATGATACCTCTTTAGAGTTCAACCTAATACTTGAAACACGGCTAACTCACTTCCCTAATTCAGAGAATATCTTTAAGGTGGGCTCCACTGGGTCATTAAGAAGGACAACATCTTATGCCACCGCTGCAGTAGTAAAACCAGGACTGTTTGTGGTCTTCAGGGCACACTCTGCCACTTGCCTCTAGCCCAGCCTGGGTGCTCAAGCAGCTCTACCAAACTTCTCATAAGCTTATGTGATGAGACGGCATGTTGTGTGGCTCTCTTACCATCTGCTAATTGTATTTTATTTCTTTGACTGTGCCTGAACGGTAAACAGTGTCTCTCATTGGGCTGCACATGGTGAGCTTCTGGTGGCCACCCTTCCTGGCTGTGCAGCCTTCCAGCTGCATTATGGTCAGCAAATCATGTCCTTGCTGCATGCCTTAACTTTCCCTAGGTATGAAAAGGGTGGCTACTTCATAAAGAGCCTTTCTGTGGAAGATCTGCGGGTGGAGAAACACTGAGCAAGGCATTACTATGATTTTTGACCCAGAGAGTTCCAGCGCTGCCGATGGAGGCGCTGATGGACGGATGCCCTCTGTGTGTGGGTGCAGTTCACAGCACTTGGGTGTCCAAAATGGATGTACATGGGGATATTCATTCCTTCTGTTTGCTCAACCTTGTCCAAATTTCCTCTTGCAGAAGAGGCGGTGCACCATGACCACTTAAAAATTACACATAAACAAGTCACTCTCTAACTTCTAAATGAAAAATAAAGGAATTCATTTAGACTGTGTTTGTGAAGAAACGTAGAGTTAACAGAGGAGAGGGAATAATACGCGTTGGGAGTTTCTAAAATCTGAACCAAAAAAAAGCGTCAACTTTCATCTTGATGAATGAATCGCGTTTGCTAATTCCCTCTCCTTTTATGATGCCTATAGACTGTAATGGCAAAATGGCAATGACCTCCCACCTGTCTAGCATAGAGGCAGGTTTGAAGACATCTTCTGGGTGAGGCTATTCCCTTTTTCTGAAGAGAGCTACAGTTAGGCTCTGATTTTGTTTTGTATAGGCTTATGGGAATACGTGTGCTGCGTATTTCATTACAGTTAGTAAAAATTCTACTGTGGATGGTGTTGAGATAAAGCTACTGCTGTTAAAGGACTGTTCCTCTGTGGAGCCTTTTTCTTTAGTTTAACAAAAGAAGTTATAAGGCCCATAGGCCTGAGGTTTCATCAGATTCAGTGTTCTAGGATAATGATTTTTATTCAGTCAGTAAAAGGTTGGTGAATGGGATTTATCCAGAGCCCTCACAGGTGGCTTAATTTTGCTAAGATGTTTGATGATGGCATCCCAATGACTTCTGGCTGTGGAAGGTGGTAAAGCCATACCCTTTTGAATGTGCCTCCCTGAAAGTGGCAGGCAACTCTCTCTCTGATAACACTTCCTCAATTAAATTTTTTCTCAGTTTATATTGCTTAATACATTTGCTTTCCAGAGATATAGTTAAAAACTAGAAGAGCAAAATGTAAGTGTTGGTTCAAAGTATCTTGCTTTTGTCCAACAGGCAGGAGGGAAGAAAACCTGTTTTGTTAGGACAGCAAAACGAAGCTGAAGGAAGTTTCCATGTAGACACTGATAAACGAGTGTCTGGGACCAGTGCCTCGTCTTGGAGGAATCTGTTAACTCACTAAGACAGTTTTAACCTTGTAGAGTCAGATTTTCAAAATGACATAAGGCAACTGGGCATTTAAAAATCATGGAAGGTCTGTGAGAGCTGGGAGTATAATTCTTTGAAACATAATCTGTACTGAATTGGATTTAATTTATGAGCTAGCTAAGGAGCTTATCATCAGGTTAGTTGAAAACTTTCCTTTCTTATGTTACCCCCATTCACTCAGGATCCAAAATCCAAATTTAAAATGGCTGTGTTTGATCTCTTTAACCCCTCAGTGTCACCCTAAGCTCCTTGTGGGGAGGAAAAAGCAAACACACACCAAGGTGATTTCATCTTACATGTCCATCCAGATTTATTTACATTTACTTGTCCAGGATTTAAGCGTGTACTTTATGTGAGGCACAGATGTGCAGTGGAAAACTTTCTTCATTATGAGCTCCTGTAAGGGCTCAATAATTTGGTCTTGATACGAGGTTAAAGTTCTAGCTACAAAACTGTCCTGAAGTTTCCACTGAAACTACACTAATTCAAACAGTAGTAAATGAGCTTAGTAAAGACAGGTAAATCGTTCAAAGCTGGCCTGTAGAATGTCTTTAGATTAAAGTGTGGAGGACCAAAAACGATTGGCTGTCTCCCTATTTGATTCTTTATGCCTACATGTATAGAGCAGACTTACCTAGTTTGCTGAATGACGGTCTTTCTGTAGCATTTCTGATCCCCAGCCTGGATTGCCTGCTTGCCAAATTGAACCTTTAAAGGTTTGAACTCATGTTAAAAAATATGTGATTTTCTTGAAAATATAGAATAACACAACTGAAACTAATGTTCACCTTCATGGGGATATCAGATAGAACAGTCCTTCTGAGGAGGTTTTGTCCATGCTTAATTTTTCAGTTATAATGTAATGAGAATCCATGGTCAGATTTGACAGGCACTTAAGAATGTGTAGCAGAGAGTGGGTGGGATAGTTTGCACATTTAGTGTTTATTATGGCCTTCTCTAACTTGCTAATTCAAGCTTCTTATGTGCAGATAGAGTGAGGAAAATAACAATTGTAATGAGCTAGGCGAAAGGTTTATCAAGCCTCACGTCATGTTTCCAATAGAGGGTAACAGCAGATGGTAGCAGGGAGCAGCATTAGAACAGGGCAAGCGCACAACGATACTTCCTCAGGTATAATGTCCGAGCTTGTAGTGATCAGGTACTTGCAGAGAAGAGTGGTACAGTACTATGATAATGACTTTGTTACTCGCCAGTAGCTATCGCTTTCATAAATCCAGACACTTCAAAGAACGTTTGTGTATTGCGTTGATATAGCAAGACTATTTTTCTGTTCTTTCAGCAATGCT